ATAGTTCACACAAATTGATACTGCATAAGGTCCCACAAAGTGCTACATTCTTTTTAAACACCTCATGAATATTTTTCCATGGGGCCTGTTTTCCTAGAATTGGAAAAGTAGTGTCTGTTGCTTTTAATAACATAATGATTTAAAACACTATCATTCACAATACTGGGCAGAAAAGCTGTGTAATGGTGGCATTTCCAATTATCATGATGTTTGCCGTTTTAGATATGGCCGGAACACACTTATTCAGTTTGAAGACTTTGGAAATCATAACGCATTCAGGTTCTTGAGAAAATATCAAAAAAAATACTGTACCTTCAATGATGATATCCAAGGTAAAGTAGAACGAAAACTTGAAGGCTTGGATGCCTGCTTTTGAACTATTTTCCATGTGTCCATCTGTAATTAAATGTTTTATTTTCACAGGGACAGCTGCAGTAGCTCTAGCAGGCCTCCTTGCAGTACAAAAATTTCTTGGTAAACCAATCTCAGAAGACAAAATCTTATTCCTCGGAGCAGGAGAGGTAAGTTTGTTAACTTTCTAGAATGTACAAAGAACGCTCTCTTGTGGAACTGGGGAATGGGACAGAATGTTGCTGTAAAAGATTGTTACGATCAAGCTCACACTTGTGCCAGGAGAGGGGATGTGAATTCAAGATCTCTGTGTAAATTCTGTGATTTAATATAGAGAGAGAGAGTACCACAGCAAATCAGGGTTTGTGTGTTAGGAGGGAGGACTGTTCTTCATCTCTTTGATCTCAATACGGAAAGCAACTCAAGCACTGCTACGTACTCCGTGTCTCTGTTTTTTACATGTATCTTGTGTTGGACAGGCCGCTCTTGGAATTGCAAACCTAATCGTCATGTCTATGGTGGAGAACGGCCTCTCAGAAGAGGAGGCCCATAAGAGAATCTGGATGTTTGACAAGTTTGGTTTATTAGTGAAGGTAAGGTATTCAACAGAAGGAGAAGCCAAAGAAGGGTGTTGCTGTAAAATGTGGAGTTGGCTTTTTGTGTATGTGTGTATTTTACTTTTTTTTAATTTAATCATTTTATCAGGGGCTCTTACATATATTTCAACAATCCATATACCCATCATAACAAGTGGGCACGTACATTTGTTCACATCATCAATTTCTTCTTGAGCCCTTTGATATCAGCTCCTCTTTTTTCCCTCCCTCCCCCACCCTGCCACCCCCAAACCCTGAACATATTATGTATTATTATTACTATTTACACTGCCCATTCTATCCCTTTACCTAATATCCTGGTATTCGGCCCCCTCAAAGGGGGTGATTCCACCATCACTGCTATCTGTTCCCCCTTCCCTTTTCCTACCCTCCTGGAATTGCTACTCCCATTACTGTTTCTGGGAGGGTTTGTCTATCCTGAGTTCTGTATATTGAAAGCTCTCATCTGAGCTGCTGTATGTACACCAGTCTAGCAGGATTTGCGAGGTAGGACTGAGATCATAATAGTTGGGGGAGGACGGATTAAAGAAGCAGTGGACTGTTGTTTTGTTCCATCGGTATTAAACTGCCCTGGATCTATTTTCTGTTCTGTGAAGGCCCTCTGCACAGGAATGTCCAGTAATCTATGGATAGACTCTGGGTCTCTTCTTTGACCCCTCTCCATCACCTCCTTGAGATTGTTTATTTTTGAACTTCTGATGCCTGTTTCCATCAACACCTCAGATTACACAGGCTGGTGTGCTTCTTCTATGTGGGCTTTGTTGATTCCCTGTTAGATGGCTACTAATTGCTATAGCTTTTAATGGCTGGGCACCATCTGCTTTCTTCCCCACATTTGCTTATGTACCCAGTTTGTCTTCAGTGATTGTGTTGGGGAGGTGGGCAT